GGACGAGAGGGTTTTTTTCTTGTGCTTTTGGGCCAGGAAATGGGTCCTGACTGTCGTTTGCCCTCATGCGCTGAACGATAGCTCAGGGTACCCAGCCTGTCGCTGGGAGGGGCTCTTGAGGGTGCTCCATTGGGTGACTCCATTGTCCTACTGGGAGACGTCACCGGTCACATGGTCACGTGGTCACATGTTAGTGTTTTTGAAATTGCATAATCAGATCTGTGACTGTATGTTCTGAACACTCTGAGGAAGAGAGGAGCTGAGCTGTCAATATATCACCTGATCACCACCTGGTGGTTAGCTGGATCAGTTGGTGGGGGAGAATGCTGGACAGACCTCATGAATCTAAACATGAGGGTGCACTGGGAAGGCCTGGTAGAGGCCTCTGCCCATAAGATCTTCAACTTCCACCTCTGGCAGAACTTTGACATCATTTCGAGGAAGGCTGAGGACACTGAGTCCATATTGACCATGTTCCGCACCTACATTGCTGAGGCTGCTGTATGATACTTTGGCTTCAAGGTGGCTTGTGTCTGTTGTGGTGGTAATCCCCTAACTGGACAGTCAACATCTGAGGTGATCAAGCTGAAGAAGGAATTTTATTAGCCTTGGTTAGTGTATGAGACTTTGGAGGCAGATGATGGACACTGGCAGCCCAACTGGAATGCAACTTGGACAGTGGTTAAAGCAAAAAGTTGAATGCGGAAGGAGTTGAGTGAGAGCATGGAAAAAGACCAGAATCGCTTTGACGCAGTCCCAAAGTCTTTTTCCAAGGTTCAATTGTAAGGCAACTCAGGAGGGGAAAGAGGTCCTAACACAGTGTATAGTGTGTAGGGAGCACTGCTGACTTCAGTTGAGGACATACTTACACAGTAGAAGGAATTCTTTGTGGGCCTCCTTAATCCCACTGACATGCCTTCTGTAGAAGAAGCCAAGTTTGGAGAAGAAGGGGATTATTCACCCATTACTGGAGGCCATTAAGATAGGTAAACAAGGTGTGACAATGTGGTCGGTCTGCCATGCATCTTCTGCAGTGGTGCCAAAACCTAGGATCATGGCATAGCTTGACCACGACC